TTTTTATTTACACGATGCATCCGTAACATTTTCGTGTCATTTGCAAGGGAACCACTTCACTTCCCTTCAGTATATGTATGTATATATATATGTAAGTATGAACACTTTTATATTCTCAGTCCATTTGGAGTTTATTTCGTGCCATGCAACTATTCTAGTTCATGCCAGTGCATAGTTTCTTTATGCTTTTGTTTACTTCAACTTTTTTCAACTTTAATCTGAAATACATACAATGTCGCCATTGCACGTCCCATTTCTATTTCCTTTCCAAGTCATTTGCCTCATTTTCCCGTATAATTTTATTTTTCATTTTATTTGCATTTCTCATGTCTCAACGCCATGTCTACATTCATATACATATATGTATGTAGCCCGTATTTTTAAATGAGTTTAATGTAGAGTCCTGATTCTAAGTTACACACGCCCACATATAGTGCATATATGTACCGTTGTACAGCAAATAGCGCGTAAATGTTGTCGTTATTTGATATCCTGGTTGTCAACCCTATTAGGCCAACTGAAGGGTTGATCCAGTGGCTTTGTCGTCAAATAAATAGCTGCAATGGGAATACAAGTGTCGGACTTGATGATTATTTTTTTCTTTTGCATTTCTGTTTCAATTTCCCTATTTCTGCATTTGTCCTTGGTGGCGCGCTATCAAACCGTCATTAGAAGTCCCTAATAGACGCCAATAGTCGGTGTGAAGACAACGAAAAACAAAAAAAAACAAAAAATAAGTGAACAAGTGTGCTGGTTGGCTAAGTTGCTGGGCGCGAGCGCGTGAAATTTTTGACGCTATCAGAGGACAAAGTACGTTCTACCTTTTTTATTATGCAATTGTATTTGTCTTTTGGCCCTTTCCACTCCCCCAACGGTGACGTATCGAGTAAAAGTGCTGCTGTTTTCCGCCTCGATGGGTAATTTTCAACATTCAATAATGGCGGCAGTGACGGAATGGTTTTTCGTTTTATTTTTTTTTATAGTTTTTCTGTCGGTTTGTGAATCTTTCTGTTTGTTAAGCCTGTTTGTTCACTTCCCAACAGCTTCGAAATCCTTTCGTTTTGTCGCCGTTGACGTTGTATAAAAATAAACTGTCCAGTTTTGTAACCAGTCGCCGTTATTGTTGGACAACCTCGCGGGCAATTTTCGTATGCCCACAAACTTTTTAGGACTCACATTGGTATTGAAACATCGTAAGGAGCCGAGCTCGGTGCATATGCCTAAACATAGACATAGTACATATTTAAACCGTGGGTCCCAAAATAACTGTCGCACCTTTGTAAAGCTTCTTGCACAAAGCCAGCTTTAAAACCTTTCAGTTACGAGGTTAAGTTATGAGAAATATTTTGCTTGTAGATAGCCTCGACGGCCGCTATTGCTGAGTGGTTAGAGGCGCGTATTACCACTCCGTTAGAACTGGGTTCGACACCTAGTTTAACCAACATCTAAATTAGAAAGAGCTTTTTTATGTACGCGAAAAACCACTAAAGAAAATGAATTGCTTTGCTCCTACGGCGGTACGCCAATTGTTTTCCCATAAGAACTTTTTTGTATAGCAATGACTCTATAATGCGTGTGTCAGGTTAGCACTGCCCTTTCCGAAATTGGAAAAGTTGGTATGTTAAACTATCTACAACAAAAAAAAAAAACTAATTAAGTTTCTCTACTTTGTGAACAATTAAGGAAAATTCAATAATTTTGCGTACAGTGTCACTCAGTTTCTTCCAAGCAAAGCAACGCGAATTCATATAAGAGGGGTGTGACTAGAACAGCTGCTTTAATTTGCCTTGGTAGAAGCTACACTTTGTACGAATTCGCCTTGATACAAAGCATGTTCGAATTTGTTTTTTTTTTGTGGAAGAAAATATGTAGTAACAGCATCAGCAAAAAAAAAATCCCAAAACCAAAACGCTTTTTTAGCCCCTTCAAATTTTACTTTATTATACTAACACTAAATGGGCTGCAAAACTGCATTTTAAACATTTTTCTAAAAAAAAGATTAGAAAGTTTTTTTTATCCAACGAGACTATTTTTCTCGATATTCGATTTTGTAAAAAAAATTCATTTTCCACACTGCGGCAGTACAAGTTTTCGAGTTTCAACATACCGAGCCCTAACCGCCAAAATAACGTAAGCGACAATTTTTTCAAAATTTTCTTTTTGATGCAGAAATATTTCTAGAGCATCCAGATGCATTTCTGCATCAAAAATTAAATTTCGAAAAAAATGTCGCTTACGTTATTTTGGCAGTTAGGGCTCGATACACTGACGATCAAAAGTGAGTGCGTGGGGATTTTGTGTTAAATATTCGCAACGTTTTTCAAGTTGAAATTTTTTTATTTTTTTTTTTTATAAAAATAACCACATAAGAAGACAAACTTTCCAACTTTATACACAATTCAGAAAAACTCAACAAATTTTCATCTAAATTTTGAACTTTTTAGTCTGAATTTTTAGAAAAATTCTGGGTAATTTTAGTACAATAATTACAAGTTTTATGCGACGAAAAAAACTCGTTGATTTTTTTTATATAACAAGTGCAATTTATACAAAATAGCGTTAGATTTTTAAATGTTGTTTGCAACCGGTCTTGCCCATTTTAATCTACGAGAAATTCACTTTTGTATGGTAAAAAGTGCAAAAAGCCGTCAGCAATAAAAAAAAATCATTAAATATAAACGCAATATTTTAGCCGCTTAAAACTTGCACTTATTTTACTAGAATTAAATAACCGATCTAACTACTTTCCCCAAATTTTTTCTATAAGTTCAGACTAAAAAGAAAATGAAAACAAGATGAAAATTTGTGGAATTTTTCTAAGTTTTGTATAAAGATTGAAAGTTTGACTTAACACCATGCATTCACTTTTGATCGCCAGTGTCCTAGACCATCCGTCCACACTCTCTAAAATGGAGAAAAATGTTTTTATTGGAAAACGCAAAAATATTAGTAGGTCATATTTGGCGATGGTCTATCTTTTGGGGGTATTGCGATGTTCATGTTCTTACTACAAATTCGGATTCTGAAGAGGAAAATACGTGACTTTTGTTTGAAACTTTCTTTCTCGGAAGTGCCCTTTCCAACAACTACTAAACGACCTTCGAACTTCAAGTCGTCCCGGTAAATGAAAAAAATATGATTCACCAAGTCGGGGATGCTCTATCTTTTGGTCGTATTACCTACTTCCGGTTTCGCCCGGATGTGAGTGACTGGAAGTCTTTTTTTTATACGACCTACGTGGTTTTACCACATAACTTTGGCCGGAAACTTTTTTGTTATGGACTTCGGGTTAAAATAATGTCCGATCGAAACCGGAAGTCGGTAATACGACCAAAAGATAGAACATCCCCGACTTGGTAATTAATACTACTTAAGAAAACGAGAAAAATTAAAAATTTAAGAGCTCATTGCAAATCAACAGTACATACTAGGACATCCAATCCCGAACCATTTTGAGAATCCCGGCATTTCGGGATCTTAAATTGGTAATCCCGGGATCCCGGGATATTTCGGGATATTATGAGTATGAGTATGAGTTTAAAAAGCTAATTACAAACTGAATAAACTAAAAACTGTGGAATTGAAATTCATTCATATTACAGTCCCCGTCATTTTTACAAAAAGTAGTATACCACAACATATGTACAAATATATACTTACGTACATGTACAAGTCGGACGGATTTCGTAAAAAAAATTATGTCTTGTCTCCGATTCCCTTAACACGTATTCGAGGATTTTTTTTCTTTTTTTCTTCGGAGATATGATCTGCCAAAGTTCGATTTTTTTTCATGATTTTTCGTTATATCTCGGGCTCTACTCATCGTAGAGACTTCATCTTAACGTCATTTTGAACATAAAGAAACGGGCTTTCTATATGATGGTTATTATTGACCTAGAGTTAACCTAGCTATTAACAGTTCACTTTTTTAAGTTGATTTGCATAGTAAATATCAGTAAATTTGGCATTTAAAATTACACCATCGTACTCCTTGTTTAATTCTCTATAAAAAATATTTCCAAAAAAATGCGAGTTTTTTCAAGAACTTTTTTTTAATATTTTCTTTTTTTTTTTTATTGCGAGGTGGTTTATTTTGTGAGAGTCTACAATGAAGTTTCTACATTACTTAGTCAGAATCACGAAACCAAAATCACGAAAACCAAAATTTGACAGATCATATATCCGAAGAAAAAAGGAAAAATGTGAGACCAATCGAAATTCTGACACCAAATTTGGTGTCCGCTATGAAAAGAATGCCTCATATATATGTTATATATATATTACCGGCCAAACCCGATCTTAGGACAAACTTCGGCAAAACTAGATAAGTATTTTTGCGCAGAACACCTTTCCGCGTAGCGGCCTTCGACGCACTTCAAAAAAATAACCTGCATCAGTCCAACTCCAGGTACGCAGTCCAAAATATTATTGCGTCCAACTGTTTCCACATTGGACGGATATATTGGATCGAGGTAGAACTAGTTTAGCCTAGGAAAAACAGTTTGTCCTGAGATCGGGTTTGGCCGGTAACATATATAATATAACATAATTTAATAGTAGTGTTAGAATTGTAATATATTATTTGGTTATTTGTAGGGTTGCATTTTATAATTCTTATATGCGATTACTGTATCTGAATACCGTTTTATTTTAATTTGGTAGTAAATTAAATTATATTATATTTCGAGGGCTTGAGCCCGCGATTTCGGGACTCCAAAACGGACTCCGGACTCCCGGGATTCGGGATTCCGAATCCGGTACTAGAAGCCTTAGTACATACTTAGACAACAACAAAATACACTACAGAAAAAATTATTTTAATCAGATAACCTGATAACAGGGCAAGCGCACAACCACAAGGTGTTTATAAAGTGAATCAGAATTTTATCTACTTTCGCTCGGTGCCAAAACCTGAACTGCAGCTGGAAATCTAATTTGGAATTTATCTCAAAAATTACCCCAGTGTCCGCCGGCGAGGTAGATGTGCAGGCTAATTTTGCACGCTACGGTCTCTGTGTTTGGTCAGTGTTGCCATAGAAAATGCCCAAGATCCGCATTAAGCTTGAGAATTAACGCTAGGATTTAGTCCGGGTCAACAGCAGTTAATTTCCGAGATAATTCAGAATTAACGAGCTGATCCGGATCAACGATGTCGCCTGTGTATGATTTTAGTTAAAACGTTAAAAATAAATATCATTGAATATGTAGGCTTACGGGAGAGGAGTGAAAATACTTTATTTATAAATTCTTAAGGATTCTACATTTTAAAGGGTTTGGTTCTATTATGAATGCTGGTTGATTGAATTAACTTGTCATATTATTTAGGTTATAAAAATTTTAGTTTTTTTATGCCATTTGATTGCGTATCTATTGATATTACATATTGATTTCGAATTGAAAAATTTCAATGGTTATGTAAGTATGTATGCCATGTATGAATCTTATTTTAAATTCCGATTTTCAGCTGATAAATCTGAAATGCTTTTATTGCTATTACATATTCATTTATCTGTATAATTAAATAGATATCAATTTGTATTATGCTCCAACAGTTAATACTGAAGTATACATTTGTATGTTTATGATCCACAACAATTTTAATGAGTACACATCTATGTATCTATATATGATTTTACTTAAGTAACCGCATAAATACACAGCGTGCGTTGCTCATTCAAAATCAAGCACCAACACCTCTTCAACTCCAATATTAATTATAATTCGAGTAGTCATTCACAAATCCAGTGTTCACATATCAATTCCGTATCTCCATTGACACAGTATCGCCACTTAGTAGAGCGAGTAGCGAGTTATGCCAATTTTCGATAGCTTTTCACACGAAGGCATTTTCAACGCCTGGGCCTGTGCAAACTTTATGCTGCTGCCAAAACTGCGAGCACGTGCCATCATACCTTCACCTACACCACGCCATACATGAACATTCCAAGTCAGCAACCACCACCAAAATCCAAAGTTCAAAATCCGTTGAATGGCAAAAGTGAAGTCACAAGTTGGTCGCATAAGTGCCGGCCGGACCCATTGGGATGTGTTGTATGCGAGGGTAGATATGCAGCAAAAAGCCGAAAAGTAGATGGAAAGTTTGTATTTAATTGTTATGTGTCTGTGCTGGCCCATAAATATTTATGATTACTTACGGTAGCTGCGCTCACGATAACAGTTCTGTTTCATCGTATAAATGAAATCCTCCTCCACGGAATTCTCTAAACGTCCCAATGAGCCTTGATAATCGGATTCGAAGCTTGGCTTCACATAGTATGGCACGGAAAGGTGTTGCGTCTCGCGTAGCACGGGATATTTGCTAATAGAAGCGAGCATACGAGATGGTATTTAGCAGCAAAAGTGGTTGTTTTCGGTAGTATTTTTTTAGTGATGAAGAAAATTGTGGTTAGTTGAATATAAACACAAAAAAACAAAACCAAACAATAACAAGAACAACAACAACAACAAAAGTAAAAAAAAACAAAACCTTGAACGACACATTCTCTCACATACCCACCACCTATTTAAGCCAATAATACTCACTACCAGGTTAAATAGAATACATGGAATATTCAAGAATGCGGGAAAGACAAAATATCCGAACGTCAGCGACAGGTGACAGCTGGCCAACGGTTTAGCAGAGGCATTTGTTTTAAATTTTTTATGCTGCGCACAGTAGTCCAATGTGCAAAGCTAGGGTAATTCAATTAAACTTTTTTGTTTGCAATTTTTCAAGAAAATTTTCATCAAATATGCAGGAATATTGTCTACTTAAGAGTAAAGTTTTAACGACATTCATGCTTTTGTTGTATATTCTTATTGGTACACCTGTACTTCCTCTGTAATAAAACCAGCAGACAAAAATATAAATTAAGGCATATGTTAAAGTTTTGCACTCATATATTTTTAATAACTTTTTAAAAGATTTCACGAAAAAAGAACTATTAAGACATTATTTAGTACCCTTTTGCTTTTTTTTAGTTCCTAGATGCGATTTGGCATATCTAATGTGTAAATTGAGCGTGCAATGCATTTTAAGACTCAATTACTTGTTGAGGGAAACTTAACTTAACTTAATCATAAGCGCGAAGCCTAATTCAGAAATTGGACATAAAGCGACAAAATTTTTCCGAAAAAGAGAGCGGTTTCTTGCTGCAAATAAATATTGGCTCGAATTTCAAATAGACTTGTCACAATTTTCATTTTGTACTGAACAGCTGATTGTTGTTTGGCATCTTGCCAAAACAACCTATCTATCAATATATTATATTTAAATAACCAATATTGGCCATTTATTTAAGTGCAGATTAAATATATGGTCTGAAAATAAATTGTTGAAGATAATGAACAATCTCTACTTAAATAGGCCATCTGAAATAAGGTCTAAGTTTCCTGCTGGTATGGCAACTAAAAATTTTGAGGGTTGTTGCCAAAAAGTGAAAATGAAGAAAGCTAGTGAGCTTTCGAAAGTTATCGAAGAAGATACACTTTTTTGGCCACTGAACTGTCACTGAAAAATCAACGCTGGTTTTTAAAAATTGCATTTTTTATATGAAAACACCGCAAAAGCCGTCAGCAAAAATAAACTTTTTAAAAAGCAATGTGATTTTCAATCGCTAAAAACTTGGAAGTAGAATTTCATAACCGATGTGAGTTTTCTAAAAACGCAGACTAAAACGCTCACAATTACATTAAAATTGTTTTCCTATTGAAAACAGTGTGGTGGAAAACAACATAATTACAAATCGTAGANGCTGTTTTAGTAGAATTTCATAACCGATGTGAGTTTTCTAAAAACGCAGACTAAAACGCTCACAATTACATTAAAATTGTTTTCCTATTGAAAACAGTGTGGTGGAAAACAACATACATAATTACAAATCGTAGAAGTTATAGCTGGTATCTGGGAGACCACCACATCTCCTCATCAGACTTCTTCATCGAGTTCACTAGGATTTGACATAACAAATACTTTTAACTTGAAATTGCAACATTTTACAAAAATCACCATGCCCTCACTTTTGATCGCCAGTGTACCTCATATAATCTTATTGAATTTAAAATAATTGAATTAATTTGTAACATATATGAATTTGCACTATGATCTTAATGTTTATGCCGTGTGCAAATGCTTACAAAAAGATACCAGAAATTTATGAAAAATTTAAAGATTTTTAATTATATGGCTGGTAGGCGTGGTCGCTATTCGACCTTGCCCATTTTATGACCAGAAGTTGTTAGTCATTCAAACATAATTTGTACAAAATTGTATACCGATATCTATCATAGCTCTTAATATAATAATTAAATTAACCTACTAGAGCAAATTGGACCACTGTGTGGAGTCTACCTAAGCTAGCGCAAGCGGAGTGGATGGTAGTGCGCGTTGTGCGGNAGTTAGTCATTCAAACATAATTTGTACAAAATTGTATACCGATATCTATCATAGCTCTTAATACAATAATTAAATTAACCTACTAGAGCAAATTGGACCACTGTGTGGCGTCTACCTAAGCTAGCGCAAGCGGAGTGGATGGTAGTGCGCGTTGTGCGGAATTCACAAGTCGTTTTTAAGGAAATGGTTGACGCATCGAATTACAGGGTGTCGAAAAAACTAGAAAACTCGGTTTTTGAACTATTTATATAACCCCGAGGTGCTTATACACTGTGCGTTGGGTAATAAAACTCTTACAAACTAATGGTATGCGTAAAATTTGTCAGATGACTCACTTCAGTTTACAAATTCATGTAGCATTAAACTTTACAAATTATTTAATGAATTAAGCGTAAGCTTGTCAGATTTAGATTTTAAGCCAATTTTATAGCCGAAGTCGAAGATGTCACGGTTTTCTTCCATATAAAAATAAATTTTGTTATTCGTTCTATGGAAGCAAATGGGGGAAAAATGCTAAAAAGTTAACGGTAATTTTTGGCTATTTGAAACTTGCACTTTATTCTACTAGTATTCAATGGGCCACAAATCATTCTAAGAAATCGAATTAACAAGCTCACAATTTTTACGAGTTTGATGAATTTTTTTTAAATATTGCACAAAGTTTGAAACCGTTTGAATTACAAATTGTAAATAATATACATACTTATTATCACCAGCGTTATCATTTTTATTACAAAAATTTGAGTTCATGCGAAATCCAAATATAATATAAATAGCCCTAAAATCTGATAACAAAATGACGTAAGACAATATTTTTGGAATATTTATTTAACTATTTTCCAGGACTATATTAATTTAAAATTTTTCATTTCATCACACCTGGAACCCTGTACGCATATTTAATTCCAATTAGAGATGGACGTGGGATATTGGGACATGCGGGACCCACGATACTGATTTCAAAATGGCTGGGATGGCCATTTTCCGATGAAGGTCTTTGAAAATTTTGCTGGCGAGACGGGATCAAAATTGTTTCCCGACACCCCCGATAAAACCCGCAACGTCCGCAAATTCAGAAAATCTTCCTTAAAATCGTTTTATGAAACAATCACTTTTTTTATGTTTTATCGACACGAAAACGAAAAGCAAGGCCACACCGGAAGATTCAAAATTAATTTGAAATACAGGTGAATTAATCATAGTGATAGATTTTGAGACACACGGAACCCGCGGTGCAATTCTGAAAAACGTCGGGATGGGCGGATTCGGTACTTAAAAGCTGAATTTCGGGACGGCCGGGATTGAAATTTTTTTTCCCGTGCCCATCTCTAATTCTAATACTATGTTCCATTTAACCTTGGCCAGTAAGTCAATGTAAATAACAATTGAATTGAATTAAACTAACCGAAATGTAATCAAATAAAACAAACAACAAAAGCATTAAACCAACTAAAAGTAAGGTAAGGCAACAAAATCGATGAATCGATAACAAAAATAACAAAAAAAACACTAAACACAAAACTCACCTCGACTGCGCCAAGCTGTACACTNAAAAAAGGTAAGGCAACAAAATCGATGAATCGATAACAAAAATAACAAAAAAACACTAAACACAAAACTCACCTCGACTGCGCCAAGCTGTACACTGGATCTGATGTAAAGAACGACGAGAACATCGAAATCAAAATCAACACCAAAATCAAACCGAAAACCAAACTAGGCTGCTGGCCGCGATCTTGAGGTTGACGTTGATTTGCCGCTTGATAGGGCCGCCTCTGTGGACCGCGTGCATGCGGTGGGAAGTTGCCAAAGAAGATATTGAATAACTCCTCTGCAGTGATATCTTCGCCGAAGGTCGCTTCAAATCCAGCGCCACCGTTGGTGTGAAAGTAACTACCGTGAAATTGTTGGTGCTGATGGTGGTGGGCATTCAAATTTGTGTTGCTACCGCCATGTGCTGTCAATGTATTTGCACCCGATGCATCGTAATCCTTGCGGCGACGTTCATCGGTGAGCACTGCCACTGCATTGCCGAGCAACTTAAAAGCTTCAGCTGCGCCTGGCGCCTGATTCTTATCGGGATGTAGTTGCAATGCAAGGCGCTTGTAAGCGCGTTTGATTTCTGAATCTGCAGCGTCACGTGAAACATTCAATACTTGATAGAAATTCTTGCACTTATTAATCCGCTTCACTAAGTCCAACTGCTCTTTGGTGTAATCACGCGTAGCACCGACTTTGGCATTGCTGTGAGCATTTTGACGACGCTCCCTCAAGCGTGTTGGTGGTGATTCACTGCCTCCGCCTGTCGATGGAGCATAACCCGGTGTGCTGGCCCCTTCAGAAGCTTGTGATGTTGGTGTCTGCTGTGCTGAAGCGCTGGCATTCAGTTTGGCTAGCAGCTCCTGCAATTCAGCTGCTTGTGAGTCTGGACAAAGTTCTTTGGCCTTTTTCAGTAGCTTGATGGCATTATCATAGTTTCCTGTATTGATTTCACGCAATGCAACGTTGATGTAACGTTGCGCTTCTTCTTGATTTGCATCCATTTGGGATGTCCTTGCAGTTTTTGTTGTTGAATGCGTTGATTAAATTCCTTCAGCAGCTTGTTTGAAGAATAACACAAATTGTTTGCGTTTTATTGCTTTGGGAATTTATTTTCTGTTTTTTTTTTTGTGTAATGCAATTAAATGTTTTGATTTGCGAAACGAAATTATGAAAGACGTACAAATACGAGCGTATAAAACGAGTGTGAGTGTGTTGTGTGTATGTTTGTTAAGTGTGTATTAATTTAATTGCAGCGAATTGCTTGAAGAGCAAACTCGTATCGTTTGAAATTAATTCAGCACAGTTTTTTACTGCAGGTATTTAGCAATTTGGAAATAATGCATACATACAAATAAGTACAGCATTTTGTTGGCGTTGGCTAGCTTTTCATTTTTTACTAAACCGGATTACGTTTGAAACATTACGGTTCAGCAAAATACTTTATATTTTTTCGCGATAATTTTCCAGAACTTTGATCAATGTTACCTGCAGCTAAACCGCTCAACACTGTATTCAAATCGCCAATATTTAATTTGGTACACTGTACTGGCTTTTCTTTTTTAACTGAATCAGTTAATGTTAATTAATTCCTCGTTTTCCACAATGTCCATTACGTCTATAACAAATACACACAATCAACAACCAAATGATAATATAACAAATAGACACTATACTTAAAAATAGCCAAACGTACTCGAAAAGGACATAAACGAAGATCACATTCGAACACGTCAAAATATTATTCGCCTTGTATCA